AGAGAGAGAGAGAGAGTAAATTTTGCATTTTGGGAATGCTTGGGGAACTTGATTTATTGAGAAAAGGTGGGGTTGCAATTTTGATGGAGATAATTTACAGTTAGTTGTAGAGAAATACAAAGAAAAATATTGCTCATTTTGGTGGGGTGTACTAGATTTTGAAGTTCAAACGCTGGACACCCAGGAATAATATCTATCGTTGGATGGTGGATACTCCCGATTCCGGGACTATCTTGTGATAAATTCTTTGCAATGAGAAACGCATCATGCGATGACACTCATTTGTCTATGGTGAAGCATCAGGAATTATTCGAGGCCAAGGTATCTCTGAGTCAATCAACTCAGTCTTCTCTCTAAAATTGATTTTGGATTCAAATTGTTAGGGAATCAAGAAGTACGAATTTGAAACAGAATAAATGAGTTTTAAAATAAGAAAATAAATTTCTTTCGCCCAATTTCCACGCGGTCAATTTTAAGTTTGTGGGGCCAGCATTTTCTAATATCCATCTCTAAGATGTTACGTGCATTAGGGGATGCTATAGTACAGTGCGTCCCCTGACTCAAAACTACTTTTCCATTATCTAGTGGTGGACAAGCCTCACCTCAAAACGACATTGGAAAAATACTTTATGCGTGGGAAATCCCTATAAGAGCTCTAAAAATCAATTTCCACAATTGATTATGAAATTTGTAGTTCAAAAAATTGTACAAATCGTGCGATTCTGTGAACACTTGAAAATGGTTGAAAATGGATGGTTTAATGGGTTATAATGTACGTTATTTTTGGGCTCAAACTATTTTTTTTTTGTTACAACCATAACGATTAAGATCTAGATAATCAATGGGAAGGTTTTTTTATGCTAGAATTGTAATTTTCTGTGAATTTTGACGTGAGGCTAACTTTGTTTGATAGGGTTGTGGCCTATCAAACCATTTTCCTTATTAAAAGGGTGCGATTTGTATAAGGTTACCTTTGAAAGAAAGGACCAATGATCTTTTTGGGGAATA